AAAAAAATCAATCTGCATAGGAAGCAGGTAGTATAATCCTGTTATTCATTACTTTTGTAACCCAACAAGTCCTTGTTCAATTTTGGTCAATTTTTTAAAATTAATAAATAGTTGAATGGTTTGTATAATTCAGAAAGTATTAAATATTGCTGTGGAATGTAGTTTTGAAACTCACATTCCACATAATTGAGATGTAAAAGTTTACTTGGAAGCTTTAGAAACTTTAGAGCTTTCTTTTATCTACCACTTAATGTGGTGAAATGTTTCTGCATTAAAAATAAGGTGTTCCACTGAGTTCCGCACCTAAAGATGTAATACCCAGTGCATTAGGATCTGCATCCCATTTGTTGCTACAGAAATGTAGTAAAAGACCTCATAGTTTTTAATCCATTTAACAACTCAGTGTAATTTAGTTTACAACTATCTTTAGTCCATTGAATATAAGAAAATCCGCTGATAAGAATTCAGATGAATTTTCTTGTTGAGCAAAGTAAGGCATACTCAGAAAGACAAGTATTTCATATTTTCCCTAAGATGTGAAGTCTTTTTTAAAAAGATGAAATTAGAAGGGAGACTTTTATTAGACAAGAGGAAGGGAAGGTAAAGGGGATGGATATGATCAAAATACGTTATGGCATATGTGAAAATACCACATTGGAACCCAATATTTTGTAAAAATTAACATGCATTGATAAAACGTATTTTAAAAAGAATTCAAGTGAAGTCTTTTCATAGATGCCATGTATAAAACTTCTTCACAAATATGATTACTAGGGGCTGGGGATATAGCTTAGCGGTACAAGTGCCTGCCTGGCAAGCTCGAGGTCCCGAGTTTGATTCCCGGCACTACCAACAACAACAACAACAAAAATATGATTACTAAATAAATAAATGTTTACTAAAAAAAAACTGGGAATGGTGGCTCCCACCTGTAATCCTAGTACTTGGGAGGTTAAGGCAGGAGGATTGCTATGAGTTTGAAGCCAGTGTTGCTTACATAGTGTGTTCAAGGCCAGGTAAAACTACACAGTGAAACCCTGTGTCAGAAAACCAGTAAATGAACAAACAGATATGATTGCTGCCCCATTTTAGTGGGACATAAAACACTTTCTTGGTTTTTCCAGTTTCTGTTTTGAAATTCTTTTCTGACTCTTGTTCCAAAAATTTAGCTACATAATTCTATCCAGTATGGTTAGATTTATGGAGGTATATTTATGCCTTTCCCTTCCAAGTATATATAAGCAATTTAGTCCTATTCAGTGGACTAATGCACAGGATTGTAAACTAAAGTACCCTAAGTTGGCTTTGTGAGTACAGAGCACTTCAGGCGAAAGGAACAATCTGTGATAAGAACTTGGCAGTTGGGAGGAACTGGATGAATACGTGTGGTTAGAGTGGAGGGAGGGCAAGAATAGTCAAGATGACATTGCAGAAGCAGGAGCAGGGAGACTGTAGTAAGGAATTTGCAGAGTGATGAGGTAGGTAGGTACTAAAGCCTCTAAACCTTTTCCCACAACTCTAGAATGCAGGTATGGGCCAGGCAGAGTAATAAACATAGCTTGCATGTTCTCTCTCCCCCCCCCTCCCTCTCCCCTCCTTGTTCCTCCCTTCCTCCTGCTGCCCGCCCCCCCAACTAAACCCAGAGCCTTCACACGGAGCCCCTTTAAAAATTTGTTTTTTTAAAACAGGTTCTCACTCAGTTGCCTAGGTTGGGCTTTAACTTTGATCCTCCTTCCTTAGGCTCCCAGAGTACTACAATTAGCTTGTCTTCAGAGAAGTGAAAAGGTCTTCCATTAATGAATACTTCAATAGAAAGTGCATGAGATTTTAAAGATAACTGGCTCACATTTATGGAAGTTGCCATACATTTAGGGAGGGAGCCATAACTGACACTATTTACCTTGAATAAGCCCAAAAGCTTCTTATTAGGGACAGTTAACTGCTGACCAGCATGTTTATGCAGGGGTTTGTCTGGGTGATTCCTTTTAAGATTTCTTCTGAAAAGGGCTGGGGATATAGCTCAGTGGCATAAGCACCTGCCTGGCAAGCGCAAGTTCCTGAGTTCAATCCCCAGTACTGCAAAAAAACAAAACAAAGATTTCTTCTGAAAGAAAGGTTATGGGAAAGGAAAATTATAGAAAAGGTTATCACGGGAATTCAGTGTTTTCTTCCATTGGTGTTACAGTCACAAAGTATACTTGACTATATTGGTCATGTTTCTAGTCTTAGTACAAGATTGTTTCCTAGAGAGAAGCACAGAACCAAGTCAAGACTGGTCTATGAATCCTTCATGTAAATAGCCCATCTTTATCTCTATTTGAAAACTAGACCCAATGTATATGTTAATATAACAGATCAAAATTAATTCTAATTTTCCAGGGCCTTACTAAGTGAATGTATGTATGTATGTAGTATTTATTCATTTATATATTTCTTTGGATTTTTGAGGCAGGGTCTTGCTGTATAGTTTAGACTGCCCCTGAACTAACTATATAGTCCAGGTTGGCCTTGAATTTACAGCAATCCTCCTGCCTCAGCCTCCTGAATGCTGGGATTATAGACGTGTGCCACCACGCCCGGCTGATTGTATTTAAATTAAGTGCTGATATTAAAGATGTAAAAAGAATAAAGTGCTCACCCATTTGAATTACCTACACTCACTCACAGTACTACCAAGAAGTTATTTACTGTAATTCCACATGCTGCACTTTTCTTTCAATAAATATTGTTCCTGGAATGCCGAAACCTGGGTTTGAATTTTTGCTACAGGTGCATTTCCACTTACTTGTGTTTTAGTACTGTTGGAAACACTCAGGTGTTAGTCAGCAAATATTCGTTAAGCAGCTCTGTGCCAGACACTGAGCTGGGCACTGGAAGTGTTTTCAGGCAGTGGGTTACTTTACTCAGCAGCCTGATGTTTGGCATTACTACTGCTATTTTTTGTTGTAAGTTTCTTTCCTGAAGCAGCCTTGAACTGGTTTAGATACTTCGAACTGTAAGACTTGATACATTCTTAGATTTAGGATTGTCATACTCTTCCCTTCTCCACCCAATGAGATTCTTAGGTTCCCTCAGGATTGACAATTTTAAAATCTCACTCTGGGCCGGGTTATAGCTCAGTGGTGCAAGCGCCTGCCTGGCAAACACGAGGCCATGAGTTTGATTCCCAGTAACTTCCCTCTCGCCCCAAAAAGAAAAGAAATTAAAATCTCACTCTGCTTTTTGTTCTCATTTTGTAGCCATGAGCCACCTTCAAACTGCTGTGAATTGTATGAAGCAGGCCCATGTAAGGAAAGATTAGTAGGATCTGTGTCAGACCAAAAGTTCTTGCCCCCCTATAAACATTAAAGAACAAATTAGTGTTCTCAGTATCTAGATAAACTCTTAGATTATGGAGTTTTGAAATATGAAAGATTATTATTAATTGGTGATCTGGATATGTGTCAGTCTGTTCTTCTTTCTTTATAGTGCTGGGGTTGAGCTCAGCACCTTACACAAGTTCTCTGCCACTGAGCCACATCCCCAGCCGTTTCATTTTTATTTAGTTATTTTTTCACATTGAGACAGAGTCGCAATAAGTTGTTCGGGCCAGGCTCGAACTTGTGATCCATCAGCTTCAGCCACCCAGAGTTTTGGGACTGCAGGGGTATACTACCATGCCAGGCTTGTATGTCAGTTTTAAAATAGTAAAATTTTGAGACCTTGGTAGAAAAGAATGCTGATTACTTAAATCAAGTGGCAGTTGTCTGGCAAGCACAAGGTCCTGAGTTTGATTCCCAGTACCAGAAAAAAAAACAAAAAACAAATAAGTGGCAGAAAACAAAATAGACAAATTTAATGTTTACTATAAAAAAATGTAAATTTAGTCTTGCTTTACACCTTTTTTGAGCCCTATCAGTAAATAATTTGTTTAGCAATCCTTGAATGTTCTGTATTGCACAGCAGTGAATAAATGTAATGTGTTCAGAGCCAAGTAATTTGGCTTATAGTTTCTATCTTATAAAAACCTGTTTCCTTTCCTGAAGGTAGCCTCGCACTTCTTACTTTATATTTTTCTTTCTTGAGAGTATTTTGCTGCTCAGGTTGCCATAACAGTGTCATAGCCTGGGTGGCTTCACCAACAAGTTTTTTTCTCACAGTTCCAGAAGCTGAAAGCCCAAGATTGGGATCCCAGTGTGGTCAGGTTCTGGTGAGGACTTCCTCCTCTGGGGTGGGGAGGTAGGCGAGAGGCCAGTGAGTACACAAGTGTTCTTCCTCTTTCCCTTCTTAGAAGACCACAATCCTACTGATTAGAGCCTCTCCCTGAGGACCTCATTTAACTTCAGTTACTTCTTGAAGACCCTGTCTTCACATATATATAATCACTTCGGGAGTTAGGGCTTCAACTAGGGGCGAGATGCAAGGACTGGCATCAGCTGTGCTTGTCATTAAGCGTATCAGTATCTCATCAGATGTGGTGGCGCACGCCTGTAAACCCAGCACTTGAAAGGCTGAGGGAGGAGGGTTGCCGCAAATTTGAGGCCAGCCTTGGCTATAGAATGAGTTCAAATCCAGCCAGAACTATATAGCAAGACCCTGTCTCAAAACAAATGGGGCTGGGGATATAGCTCAGTGGCACAGTGCCTGCCTGGCAAGCGTGAGGTTGTTTGATTCCCAGTACCACCAAAAACAAACAAGATACAGCAGTTACATCAGTGCCTTGATGGTACTGTGGTATGTAGCGGTTTATTCATTGTAGACTCTAACATCTTAAAAGATTTTCTAGTATTTTTAATAAGAAAAAATATATTGGTAATGAAGAGGAGAGACACGCTTAAATGATAGGAACTAAAATCATGCCCAATTGTTGCTTTTTTTTAAGCTTGATTGACTTGGAGTAAATAACCACAGTATGGCAATAATTATAATAATTTAGATTCTTACTAAAATGAAAGCCTGTGTAAGCTATTTCCGTGTTTAAAACTTTCAGGATTTACATTAAGAGAATCCTTGTCTTTCAGATAAATTTGCGCCTCATCTTGGTGAGTGGAAAAACAAAGGAGTTCCTGTTTTCTCCTAATGATTCTGCTTCTGACATCGCCAAGCATGTGTATGACAATTGGCCAATGGGTGAGTGGTATTTTTCTCTGAAGGATGAACAGTGTTAATTCTCTGTGCCTTACCTTGTTTCACAAAAATAATCTGAAAAAGTTAAAAGCCTATAAAATGAAAAACCAAAAATAACTGAGAGTATAATGCTTGGCCTTAAGGGGATCACTATCCTTTCTTAGATTTTGCCCTTCAGCTTTCTCATTCTAAAAGAGTAAAGAAGTTCCTTCAGTATGCGAAGTCATTGTTCTTCCTTAGAATTGTTAGTGTAAGCAAAAAATGGTTTTTAAAAAGGAAAAGTAGTTAACGCACGTAACACTTTCATATCATTAAACTTATTTTTACCAAACAAAAAGGAAAGAAAAAAAGAACTGTCTTTAACATATTGTGATAGTTTCTTTGGTCTACTGTATACATAGCCAGCTTAAAATTAAGTCTGAAGTAAAGGTAAGTTTTACTTCATGCCACTTCATATGTTCCTTAACAAGGTCAAGAAAGACCCAGCCAGTACCTATAACCAGCAGTTTTGGAGAGTATGTTAGCTAATCCTTCCTTTCTCTTTTTTCTACCTAATAAAACTCTTGTCTTACCTCCCTTTCCTGTGAACTTCCTCAGGTGTCATTGTGACCCTTTTACTGTGCCTCCTTGTGACATCCATAATAAGGAGGAGACTGTTTCAGCTGATTTCATGCAATTTTATTAGCTGAACCAATTTGAATTTTAAAGGACAGGACTTGTTTCAACAAAGAACACAGTGTATACAGAATGAATCAATTAAATCAGTGTTTCTCAACATAGGGAACCATTTTTAGAGGTAGACCCCTTAGTACTTTATTATGATGTGCATTTTAAAATGTAGAAACATAAAGTCCAATTAAAATTATTCATCCTTGTTAACTCATAAAAACCATAAAACTAAAATGGATCTATAAAGAAAATACAAATGTAACTGTCAAACTGGTAGTGTTCACATTAACAGTACTGATGTGCTAGGTGGTGCATTTTTGCTAGAGCCACGGTACACTTGCATCATGAATGCCTGTGTTCCTGCATGGTGCATGGTGACCCAGTTGTCTGCACTCACCACAGTCTGTCTTCATGCACTGCACCATTGTCGGCCAGCTTCTCTTAAGAGAGAGTGTATCATTTCTTTACTGCGTCACCTCCTGTTCTTTTTTCATTGATCTCTTGTCAGTTAAAGAAGCACTGACTGCTTGGCATAGTCATAAACATGGTGCATACGTGGGCACTAAAGCCCCAAGTCTACCATTGATAATCAAGTGGTTATTTTAATCATCTGGCGATCACTTCCAAATCATCAAAATGAAAACAGCTTGAGAGTTCTCAAACAGGCCTTTCAGACCGTAAGAGAACTTCATAGGCCTGAGTTGGAGAAATAATAATTTAGGCACATACTTTGACCTACTAGCTTTTTTTTTTTTTTTCAGTTGGTAACGAAAAGCTAGTTCCTAAATGAGGGAGGAACTGAAACTAAAAGTCACGGCTGAAAAGGAATCGCAGAAAGCTTGGGGCTCTAACACTACTGGGTGTTTCTTTATAGACAGGCAGGATGGATAATGATCAGTCTGAAAAGCATTTTTAAACACCTGAGTATTTTTGTGCTAGGTGTAATACAAAAGATGACTTTCATGGTTTTTTGGGGGGTAGAGCCTTGAAGATAGCTTCTGACATACTGTAGAAAAGGAAATGGAAGGTAAAGGTAACCCCTTTCAAAAATTTTATTTGAGCTATAGTACAACTTAAGAAATACTTTTATTTTCTTAATTATTTCATTCTGTTATTGAAATTAGGGTAATTCTTGATTAATGGTAAATAAAGGTGAGAATCAAGTACAGTATATGTCTTTGCCATTAGGAATTATCCAAAGTGAGCAGTCATATGTCAGTATTGAGAGCTGACTGTGTCAGTTGGATGTTACTTGCACAAAAAAAGTTTTAATGCCTACTCTTTCCTCAGGTTGCCAAATCTACTCAGCAAATTTAGACACTACAGAAATTATTTATATTTTATATACTTTAAAATATTTAAATTTAAATATACTTAGGTCTGTATTTATCGTGTAAGTTCAGCAGGTGTAAATACTTGTTGATACTAATAGTAAAGCTGTTGTCAGATTGTCTCTGGTTTTTTTTTGTATAGGTTCCTAGCTTTCACTTGTATAATACCCTCTAATATGTGTTATTTTTCTCCGGGACATTCATCATGGATAAGGTGATATAAAGTTTATCTTCTATATTGCCTGCCAATTGACCTAAAAAAGATAACATATCACCATTGTCTAATACATTGTCTTTTTAAAAATCTTTGTTCAACTTGTTTCTAGCCTTTGCATATACATTTTAATTAACAGGTGTAAATATTGGCTGCTAATTACTGGTAATTGAAACTAATTTTCAAACGGTATATCTCTTTATGAGGATTAGATTTTTTCCAACTCATTTGTCTTAGTTGTTTAAACTGTAGGCCTATAATTTGGCACAAAAGCTAGTCTTTTTTGCATCACTTGGTACTTAATGACAGGAGTCAAAAAGAAAGGCTGTAGTGAATGCATGAACCGTGACAGTGTCCTACAACTGATTTGGGTTCAAATTTGTAAACAGTGCAGTAGGGCCTCAATTATGTATTGAAATGCACCTAATCAGTTCCATGAATTCTTTTCAGACTGGGAAGAAGAGCAGGTGAGCAGTCCAAATATTCTACGACTTATTTATCAAGGACGATTTCTACATGGAAATGTGACATTAGGAGGTAATAGTCAAATTTGTAATGGGATTTAATGTTTGTGTCATGATTGCATTATTATTCATTTGTAGTTTGCTTGTAAAAATCCTAGTAAATTTAACTTTGAATTCTGCCCTTTTTTGGTGTGCATACCCCTTTACATTTTGCATTTCATTAAAATTAATATTAGTGCTTTTTATGAAATAAACTCTGAATATAATAGGAGTCCATTCCTGCAGATACAATTTTATTACTCCTGGGTAATTTAGATGTATTTTAAGTTAAAATTGGATCTACAAAGTAGGAAAGGTTTATGATAATTGGTTTTTAAATACATGAAGAGATGTTTTCAGTTTGACTCCAACTGATTACTAATCATGCAAGAATAAAGGTAAGCAACTGCCATGAGTGTGGTAGTGATTGCAAGGACAGATTTTGGACCCAAACTGCAAGTTGCATCCTACCTCCATCACTTACTGATGGGGAACCTCAGGCAAGTGACTTAACAAAATATCTGTGTCCCGGTTTCCTCATCAGTAATGGGGATTACAGTAGCTAATGCTTAACCTCATAAGTTGGGAGGAGTAAATTAGTTTATATATTCAGAGTACTTAGTGCTTGGCACATAGCGAACACTTCAATTATTAGCTGTTGTTCTTTATATGTGATTGGGGTAATGTAGCTCAACAGTGCCCTCTTATGGGGTACATTTTCTACCGTACTTAGGGTTGGTTTTGCTTTTAGTGTATGCCTTTTAAATATATTCAGATAATTGGAGGGGCTGGGGATTTAGCTTAGTGGCACAAAGCTTGCCTGGCAAGTGCAAAGTCGTGAGGTCGATTCCTGGTACTGGAAGAAAAACAAAAAAAACAAACAAAAAAACCCAGATAATTGGAAATTTGTAGGCAAATTAAATGATCACTTAATATATCTTTGTTTCTGTATAGTCAGACTTCACTCTCTACATCTGGTAGTGAAATGTTTGTCGGTTTTTCCTTTAAGGAATACTTTAAGGAAATACTTTATTCATTCAACATATATTTATTGAACTCTTCTTCTGTTCTAAAACTGATTTAGAGATACAGGGGAAATAAGATAAAATGTCTTATGAAGACCTTTTGAGTATTACGTAGGACAAAAGATAAAATCTACTATGCCAGAGGGCTAGAACAGATGAATAAAATGATTTTGACAATGTCAAGTTGGTAGGACATTTCATGGTATAATCTCGTACATAACCCAGTTCTAGTGATAGTGTTGTTATAACTGACCTAACTCGGGCTATTTCCTATAGCCAGGCTTGGTGGCGCATGCCTTTAACCGCAGCATTCAGGAGGCTGAAGTAGGAGGTTTGGCTGGGCTACATAGTGAGTCCAAGGCCAGCCAGGTCTATACAGTGAGGTTCTGTCAAAAAAAAAAATTAGAGCTTTTTTCCTCTCTAGCTATGTCCATTATTTTTATTTGGTTAGGTGGACCAGTCTTAATGTACAAATTACGTGTTAGCTCTCTGGCTGTATTATACGGTTGTTAAGGAGGGGGCCATGTGTTAATCTTTTTTTCTAAATTTTCTGTGGTTTCAAGATCCTGAGTTGAAATTGGTAAATGTTGATTGAATTTAATCTCACTACATGAGTGAATCTTAACATTGCCATCCCTTTCTTCATTTTGTCCTATGGGAGCCATTTTCCATCAACTCTATTCCTTAATTATCTTTACATGATGGCCCCAGTGTTCCCATACCATATTAAAGATACAGTGTTTGTATTAAATCAAAATCTTTTGACTCATTCCCATTAAATTTTAAATTTTTACCAGTAGAGTTTTGGAATATGTTTTAGAATATACCAGGTTAACTTATGTCATTATTGATGGTCTGTTACTGTCAGTCTTTCCAGAAACACAGTAAGCCACCTCTGGCCTTAGTGATTTAGAGAATATAGAAGCACAGGCAGGCCTGTTCATGTTGATCATTCCAGCTGGGTATTTGATCGGGCTTCAAAAATAATATTCAACTATTTGTGTTTTCAGTTCCCTGGTGTTCTTAAATATCCATGTAAAAGAAGGTAGCACATAGTGATGGCAGCTGTCTTCAGATATTTGAATGGCTGTTGTGGACAGAGACTAACCCTGGGAAAATTAGACTTAGACCAGTAACTAAAACTCAAAAGCAAACAATTTTTTAAATTCAATATAAGAAAGAATATGCGAAAATGTTGAGCTCTCTAAAGAAAGAACGGCCCGCTGTGCGGACTCTGAGATCCTTGTCACAGAGATGTTCGAGCAGCAGGTGACTAGAGTAGTGGGGGTTACGGCTAAGGAGAGCTTCGGTCATCGTATGAACGCCTGAAATAGAAGGCTTGGACACTGCCCGCTATCTCTTCCTCTCTTTTCCTTTTTCTCTCTTTCTTTTGTTGCTTTCACAAAGTCTCTCTGTGTCACCCAGGCTGGCCTTGAACTCCTCAGCTTAACTAGCCCTTTTGCCTCAGTTTCTCAAGTAGTTGAGACTGCAGGCGAGTGCCACTGTCCCCAGTTTCTCTGCCATTTCTGAAAGTTTGGGGGTCACTAAGTTTTAGGTTTAAATTTCTGGTGTTCAGGTCTCTCTTTTGACGGACAGCTTTCTAAACCCATGGGATTTCAGTCCACTGAAAGAAGGTGTGGTTGGCAGCTTTAGTGACAGGAGAGGAAAAAGAGGGTCAGCTGAGGCTTTGGTGGTTGACACCTTCTAGCTCAGTGCTTCCCAGAGTTTGTTTCTTAGATGGCAGACATGAGGATCACCTCTGCTACATAGTCATTTTTATCTTTCTTAGGTTTTTTGTCGTTCTTTTTTGTTTTTAAACAGGGTTTCACTTTGCCGTTCAGGCACACCTGCAGCCTCTGAGGCATTCATTTTAAAATCCCAGTTTTACTCACAGGTGATTTTTATATACATTAAAGGCAGAAACCTCTGTTCTAGGTGCTGTCTCGTGTCAGTAGAAAAAAAAGCATCCGCACTCAAGAAAACAGAAAGCATGCTAGATTCTATTCTACTTCCTTCACCTTTAGTATTGTTTACAGCAGTGTCTAGTGTTTGTAGTTAGCAAGGAGGAAGTAGTTAGGTGTATCAAAACAGGACAACTATGGGAACAGCTCCACAAGTTAGCTGTACTGGCTGCTTATAGTTTTATGCAAAGAACAAATGAGAAGAACTTTTTAAAGACTTGATGAGAAAATATTATTAATACTGAAACAATGAATCTAGCCTTTTCAGAAAATTTTTTTCTAATTGAATACAAGAGTGAAAGTAAATATTTAAAATTAAGTTTGTTACCTATGTTTACATTAAGTACTATAATCAGTGCAGTAATTTTATTAGGCAGCTGATATGTAATTAGATCATCTCCTAATTCCGACTTTTGCATGATCTATAAATAGTATGCTTAAAAATGTTCTTAAAAGATTCCTGTCTCCTCTAAGGTGATCACTTATATTAACCAATGAATTATATATTTTCTCTTTGTCCCCCTTCTTTAAATAATGCAGATATATTTGTCAAACTAATAGTGGCCATAGGTGGGAATGGTCATTTTTAAACTGTGAAAGTTACCTCTGGTAGTATTAATTTAATCTTGGTATGTAGAGATTTTTTTCTTCAGTAAGAAGTCCTGTCTGGGGCTGGGGATTTAGCTCAGTGGCACAGCACCTGCCTGGCAAGTGCAAGGTCATGAGTTCGATTCCCGGTACTGGGGGAAAAAAAAAGAAGTAGTTCTGTCTATTGAGGAAATCATATAAAAAGAAATCCATCTTTAAAATGCTTTTACTTCTAGTTAGTGATTTTAACAAGTCACTGTATATGTAACAAATTGTCTTCTGCCTTTTCTCTAGCATTAAAACTTCCTTTTGGCAAAACAACAGTGATGCATTTGGTGGCCAGAGAGACATTGCCAGAGCCAAACTCCCAAGGTGAGCCATACACTGGAGAAATGTCTCGCTTGAGCTACAAAGACAGGCATTCAAACATGGCTGGGTTTTTCTTGGCTCTTCTAAAAGAGGGGAGGTTTTCATGCTTTATGAGCAGAGTTTGCCAGGCAAACAACCAGACATTTTTGGAATATGTTAACATTTGTTAACAGCCATTTAATTTAAAAAATGCAGAAACTACAAAAATTATTATTATACTTTGGTGCTCCCATCCTAGTGTTCTTGTTTATAAGTGAGCTTTTCTTCTTTGCCTAGGTCAGAGGAATCGTGAAAAGACTGGCGAGAGTAATTGCTGTGTGATCCTGTAAACACTGTCTGCCTAGTGTGGTGTGCGCGGTCTTAGTCTTTCATGCTGCTGGGACACAAGAGACCCAACATAGCTTCAGAAACCTTTAGGAACAGTCTGCCTGCAAGTCCATGGAACTGAATTACCACATTAACACTCACTCATCTTCTCTCATGAAAGTAAAAAGAACCAAGAACATTTTCCACTATCATTTTTTATTTCTTATATTTTTGTTTATGTTGAACAGTTTTAAAGTATATTGGTTTTTGAATGCAGTCAATCTCCAGGGGAAAAGTTAAGAAGTTATCTTTCATAGCAGAAACAATTTTGCTGCCACAAAAATTTTCATCACCAGAATGAACAAGTATTCCAAATACAATTTGCACTAAAAAAGATTGACATTATTTTCCTTATCAGCAGAATTTATAGCAGTTTATGGTACCTAGAAATACTCACTGTACAGTTCCATATGTACAATTCCACACTGGAAAACACTCAGCAGTTAATGAAGTTAATTACTGGGCCAACTTGAGAGGAAAAAGAAACCAAAATGTTGATTGCATTCTACCAAAGTCAGTCATGGTGGCTGTACTGGCACAGAATATTAAGCTGAGTGTGACTATTTTCACTGCAACAAATGAAAAAAAATGTGCCTGTTGTTCAAAGCACTCAGTAGAGGGCTGACAAAACTAATTTTTTCCCTTTAACCCATGCACTCTTGAGTGCTGCTGTTGCTGAGTGCTTGTTCAGACAGCACAGGCGAGGGTGAGTGCGTTTTCTAGCCTTAATGTGGGAGGGTGCCAGGCGCACAGCGGCTTTCATTCTCATGCAGAAATAGTAGAAAACCTCATTGACTGATCAGTTTCACATATTTGAGTACCAGAAAATTGGATGTTGCTCTATTTACTGCTCATCCATAGCTGTGTCCAATGTTATACTTACTCATTAGTTCCGATGAATTCTTAAAACTACAAAAAAAATCTCAGTACTAATTTTGTTTCTTTCTATAGTTTGCATTTGGTATTAGTGCTTGCAGTTGTATGAAAATCAAAAGCTGATTTTTTTTTTAAGGCATACATGATTAAGGATGCCACTCTTATTTTATACCAATACTTTCAAGATTGATATGCTAAAAACAATTTGCACAGCACTAAAGCATGAACTAGTTTCATCTAAACCTGTAAAAAAATATGAAAGATTTTATATTTTTTTTCACTAGGAAAAACTCTTCCTGGATGAAATTACAAATATGTGTAGAATATATTTAATAAAAAAACTTATAAAATACCTAACTATAGAACTTACATATAGATTGGCGTGTAGTATATAGAACAATATTCCATATAAATAACTTTAGCCTTTTTAAAAATGAAGTTGCAGGCTGACATTACGTTCTATATTTAATAAGTGTTCATGACCCTTAAAGCATTAAGTGTAAATGATTTCAGATGGTCAGCTTTCTTTAAACGCAGTCAGGTTATTTTATTCATTGTTAATGCTTTGATGAAAAAGGCTTTATATGCAGTAGATCTACAAAAATATTGTTCATACTGATCAAAATTAAATTTGTATAGAGCAGAGTTTTAAAATGAATGTAAATAGCACTAAACATTTTCTTTCTGCAACCTGTACTTACAGATTCTTTCTGTAAACTAAATAAAAAGAAAAGATATTGTAGTGCATTTGGTGATGACTTTAAAGATCTTGATTAAGTCAGTACTGTTTAAGCACTGTCTCATGTTAAAAATGTTTTCTACTTTTATTTCTGAATTTTTTAAAGTTCATTTAAGTACTATTCTCTTCTTGGTTTGGGAGTATTCCCAGTGTATCTTTGATATTTAACCTGGTTAATTTGTGCTTAGTCACATCAGTGAATAGAATTATGTAGTCTCTGTTACTGCTACAATGTTATTTCAAGACGTGTTAAATATTTATATGCGTTGTTGACTAGTTCGAATGTGGGTTCTGTTAGTGTTGACTAGAAGAATCTGGCAGTTACTTAATTGGGCTATTAGCTTTTATGGCTATATTCTTTTGTAAAACAAAGCACTGGTAATTACTTTCAGTACTTACTTTGACTCTAATTACTCTTGAGTTTTTCCAAAGTTAAAAGACTATCAGTTAATTATGATTGCATTTTTATTACAGTTAAAAATATTCCCTGTTAGTTTTCAGTATATTTTTCTGTGTGTTCCTGTATATCATATATTTCCCTCTTATAAGACCAAGAGTTTTCTCAGTGAGATAAATTGGTTCTAGTAGAAAAAGAATTATGTCACTTAATAATTAATGCCATGGTTGTGAGAGATGAAAAAAAGAGTAAACATAACCGTAAAATGATATACTGAGAACACCAAAAATTTAGATGCCTTAATGGTATATACATGAAAGTACCAACTGTCCCTTTAAGACACTTCTTTGGACTTGCCTGATGGTTAAAATATGATTGATAATATCCAAGGCTACTATTGAAGATCCCTCTGCCAAAAATAGCAGTTCACTTAGCTAAAAGTGAGACCTGCACAGACCCAGTAATGTAAATAAAGCCTGAATTATGGGGCTGTACCCCTGCCTAGTGCTTGGTATCTAATTCATGTCTTTTACCTAAAGTGTCTAGGACTTCAAGTGTCCTGGACAAGGCAAAGGTTTTCTTTATTAAAACCTCAGCATGTCTCCCTGATCTGAACGATTCACTTTCTCTTCAGGATAAATTGTATCTTACCATGAAAAATACAGTATCTAACATCATCACATTAAATGAGCTTTTCTCATGACAGACATCTATCTTTAGTTTTATGAAGTCACTTTCACCAATATTACAGTAATTTCTGTTAGCTAGTTGTGGTAAACAATGTTTAATGTGAAAAGAAATTAAAACTTTCTTCATCTATTGTAGAATATTTCTCTTCTTTTAAATAACTTCCATTCATTACCTTGTGTTTTTCGAATCTTTACGTCTACTCATTTCTTTTTCCCTTTTCCAGTTTATTCTCCACTAACATTCAACCTGGTACCAGCCTTTACTTTGCTATATTTTACCGAAACCAAAGAGAAGCAACTAACATGTAATGCACTTTCATACACATTGGTGACTGTTGCAAGTTGCTGTTTTCCCCGTTACTGTTTTGTAATGCAATCACTTGTTAGCCAGAGTGATTGGGTGGGAGGAAGGCTTGAAAGAGAGCACGGTTCAAACAAGACTTCAGGTCCTGGCATTTACCAAGCACCATGTCCACGGCCAGGACAGGGCAGGACTCTCAGACATGGCAGTGGGTGATGAAAGGTGACTCCCAGCATGTCCGGCACCCAGCGTACTTTCTTCAGAAGTCTGTAACGCACGTGGCTCTCTTATACCCAAAAGAACTGAAAGAGGTCATTTTAAAAATTGAGAAACATCTGATTCTTTGCCATCAAAGCTGATGATCTTTGACAGTGATGTCAAATGTTTGTTCTTTAAACTATTTTTGATATTTTTTTGTTTTCAAGATGACAGCTTTTAGGAAATACAGAGTAGACGTAGTAAAACAACATTTGGAAGTAGAAAATGTCAGTCTCTTTCATATGAGTCAACTAATAAAAAAAAGGTTCGGTAAACAGTTTCCTAAAGTGGCTGTGAAAGTGAATTGGGTTTTTGGATGTCTTAGAGAGTCTGATGGTTTGGGGATGCAGTTATACACCCAAACATTGTGCAATATCTGGCCTTCGTTTTCTACAAACATTTTTTGAAGCTGACGTGGTGTAGGGTAGTCTACCATTCAATAAAACTGAAAGCAAAAAGCTGCTGTCCTAATAAAGGAGGTCACAGAATTCAGAGGGAAAAGTGACTAACCCTTAGCAGACCTGGAACCTTAAGCTTCTTTTCAGAAGATCCAGACATTACACAGAAGAACACAGTTGGGTTTGTTCCATTCTCGGGCATCACCTGTGTTGTGGGGCCTGGTTCACCTCACAGTCCTTATCACATGGTGGTTTTCCCTAGGGACACCACTTAATTGAGTTCCACTAATTTGTGTGCTATTCTCCCTTGGTGTTTCTCAGAAGTATTTTTTTTCGTCTGATAATTATCCCTAACTTGACTTATGTTATTTGGTCCTCAAAATTCAATGCCATGAAAACAGCTGAGCTTTGGAGTCAGGTCTGTCTTTGAGGTGGGTGACTTTGAGCAAGTTACTTAATATTTGAGCTTCAGTTTTCCATGTGCATCATTAATACTTGTAGGTTTGGGGTAAGGATTACTTTAAAATCTTTACAGCATCACTTTGCCCAAAAACTCACTCTTGCAGAGAGGTTGTAGAGTTGAGTGTTGGGTATAGGCTGATTTAATTAACACTCAAACTCCTTACAAATCTCATTCCAGCCTTCCTTAATTTTCTCTGCTCATTTCTCCCTGTGTCCATTTTAGGCAACCCATCCTTGCCATCTTCCCTGTAGCATGTCTTTCTTTGCCAAAACTGGATGGTCTTGGCACTTCTGCTTAGTTAGAAAGTTTTACATTCTCAGTTTCTCCAAAGAACCACTTTTAGTCTGATGGGATCCACTGGAGATTTCCAGCCTCCAGAACTATGAGATAATAAAATCTGCATTGTCCATTAGCACCGAGTTGCCATAATTTGAAACAGGAAACTTGGATTCCAAAGAACCTCTGCTTAGTTACAAAGACTTTCTTACATTTTCAGTTTCTCCAAAGAAAGGGTGGCCACTCCTTAGTATTATTTATCTAAGTCAATGTTCCCTATAGAAAAGAGGTTTAGATAAAACTTACAGGCCAACTTTATTAGTTGGGTTTACTAGAGGAATGGATTTAATTTTATATTTCTGTCATATATACTACGAAGGACTTGCAAGGTAGACTTACAGCAGCCACCCACAGAGGCAGATGTGGAGGAATTCATTGTAAACACTGTAGAGTGGCGGATCCAGTCAAAAGTTGAAGGTCTCTAACTCACTGCAGAGTCCTGTGTGAGTCCATGTCAGGACACAAGAGTCTGCACTGGAAGGCTAACAAGTCTGCCCCGGAATCCTGGAGATGGATGTCCAAAGGCAGTGGCAAAGACTGGAACATCTCTGAAGAAGCAAAAAGGGAGACTTTTTTCCTTTTCTATTCCATCCATGCTGCAAGCCTATTGGTTAGTACCACCCACATCCTCACACCCAGAACTATGCTAAGCCAATCCACCAAGCATTTCTTATTCAAGTTGACACAATTAACTATCATACAGACAAAAGAAGTGAGAAGAAATTAGGCAGGAAAAGGTGGAAAGCAACACAACCCAAGGTGGTATACTCCAAGCAAGCCACAGCTTCAAGACAAAGCACAGCCAGCCAGGCTCCTCCTCCTCCACCCCTCTTGCCATACTGATCTTCAGATTCCCCAAGTCCTGCATGCTGGGACATTGTATGCTCTTATGCCTGTGGGGACTTTCCAGATTCCTATCTGTCCCTTCTTGCCTATTCTCACTTCTCCCATTCTTTACCTAATGTGCAGTTGGCACGTTAAAGACATCAACACCTTTCCAAGCTTTGAGGTCTATTCTTTAGTCACTGTGATTGTGAACAAGTCATTTACACTCTTTTCAATAGAAAGAGAAAGCCAATCATTCCTTTTCACGAATGTTTTAGGCAAACATGAGAAACACTGAAAATGCCTTGTTTATATCATATATATTGTGATTTCAGATTCACCAAATGGACTTGAGACTTGGTTTCCCATGACAAAGGCAAATGTGAAATGAAAGACTTTAGGGACCTGGGTGAGCTTCCTGTTGCTATTGGAACAGACAGTGCAAATTTATTATCTCAGTTCTGGAGGTCAGAAGTCTATGGTGGGTCTCATCAGACTAAATGTAGTGATAGCAAGGCTGCGTTTCTTTCTGGGGGCTTTCGGGGAAAATGTTTTCCTGCCTTCCCTACCTTGTAGCAGCTGCCCACATTCCTTGGCTCATGGCTTCTTCCCTCCATTTTGCAAGCCAGCAATGGTAGGTAGAGTCCTTCTTACACTGTCTCATTTTAACCCTATCTTACCCCTCTCCTTTCACATTTAAAGACTTACTACATTGATCCCACCTGGATAATACAGGATCATCTTCCTATTGTAAGGTCAGCTGATGAGCAACCTTAATTCCATCTGCAGCCTTAATTCCTCTTTGCTATATAATGTAACAAACATACTCATAGTTCCAGGGATTAGAATGTACACAACTTCGCAGGGCCATTATTCTCCTTCCCAAAGAACTAAACTTTGCGTCCTTTGCATTTATAAAAATGAAATAGATTGCAAATATTCTCACTGCATCTCAGAAGCTAGCAGCATATTGTAGAAAGAACTCAAATTAGAGTACCTACCTTTAATCCTGGTTGAATCAACCAGTGAGATAAACTCACGTAGATTGCATAGATGACCCTCAGTAAAATAAGGAAGATAATGCCCATTTTACCAAGTTGCTGGAGGTTGAGGCTATGACACTCCCAGAATGTGCAGCCCTTCCTATGTGCTCAATGAATGTCTGACCACTTCAGTAGCTCCCCAAATTCCAGGGATCTTTTCACATAAAACTGTCTCTCGGGAGAATAAGATCTTTCTCAACTGACTTTCTTTACAGTCTTTAAACTTCATTTTATTCACATACTTTTCCCTTTGTGTAGCTCACAAATATTTCTTACGCCTCATGTGCAACTTCTTTTTAACTTCTGTATTAGTCAGCTTCCTGTCACTCTACCCAAAATAATTCACTTGCAAGAGGAAAGTTTTGATTTTGGCTCAGAGCTCTGAAGGTCCCAATGCACAGTGGAGGGGCACTGTTTCTTTGGGCTTCTGACACAGCAGCACGTCACAATAGGAGCACACAGCAAGGCAAAACCGTTTACATCACAAGGCAGGGAGCAAGAAGGCTAGGTAGGCTAAAGGGTCAGCATCCTCTTCAGGGATTCACCCCAGTGACCTAAAGACATCGTGGAGGGTCCACTGCCTCCCAGTGGTGCCACTTTGTGACCAAACCTTTCACACAGATGCCTCGGGGGGACATGTCTCCAAATGACCACAATGCCAGTTCATTTGAATGATATTGTACCTCATTCTTTTCCAGATTTCCCCCTTGCCTTTTTCAAATGAAATGTTTATTGACCCTTCAAACTCTTAGAAGATGAAATCTTAAACCTCCCCTGCCCACCCATTCCTCCTTTTTTTAAATTATGGGACAAAAATATAAACACCTTCTCCAACAGAAGTCTTTTTAGCAGCCTTCTCTAGTTTTGTATTTTTGAGTTTTCATTCTCTAAGGAACAAATAAACTACTTGTTTCATGAATTATAGATGTTCTGCTTCCAGTGACCAGGAAACAACTACGGGGAAATGGTTTACAAACAGAATACATATAAACCTACCTCCATATCAAAAGCTAGGCTTCTTATACAGTGTCATCAAAACTGTGGTCAATGTTTAAATAACAGTTTAAAAAAACATTCATTACAGTAAAAGACACATTGCCATTAATACTCCTCAGAATATTCTCCCTTGGTTTGAAACATTCAACCCACATTCTGAAGCATTTCTAGAAATCTTTACTGAATGTCTTTCTCCGGGTGCCTCCATGTCCTGAAATGATTCAAAACATTTACAGCAAAATCTGTTAAATAAAATACTACAGAGTGATTTCATCTACCTTATTCGCTGGGTCTGTCACTAGGAAACTTCACCATGAAACTGGCAAGTCCTGAGGTCTGCCAGAACTGGCTCTCTCCGAAGGCAAAATGATCATGAAAGATCAATGTTTTGAATGGATTCAGTACTTCAAAGACACTCATGAAAGAAGACTTCAGAACTGCTGCAGAAAATGGCAACAACAATGGGATAAGTGCATTTGAAGCAAGGGAGAATATTTTGAGGGGGTGAATGACAA